TTAGCCAAAGAGTACACGAATACATTGCTCTGTGTTATTCTTTTTCATACGAAATATACAAGAAAAATGAAGAATTACAATCACATATAAAGAAAGCAAAAATTATCTGAATTAACAATGGAAACAAACGGCACGAATGAAAAACTAAATTGATTATATCGACTTATCTTTACAAAACCTAGCCTGAGAAATGTTAAAAGCTCATTCTGGCAAAAGAAATGTTAACAGCTCATAATTATTCTTAATATCCGCAAATTCTTAATTTTTTAAATTAAATTTGTGAGGATGCCAAAGGTTGTATAGCATTTTTTTATATCTCATACTTGTTAGGTAATTTTTTTTTTTATCAACTTTTCTTTTTCTACTACTAATTTTTATGCGTTTACGTTTGGCAGATTTTGCGTTTCACTCCTGCTAAGAATTTTTTCGGTTTTCTTTTTATCACCTTAGTTTGCGCCAAATTTTAAAAAATGAAAGAAAAAGAAAAAGAAAAGTGAAAAGGAGGTCTCTTTGTCCGACAACATTCAAATCTCACCGAAAAAGGGTAAGAATATATTATATCATGTTTCATTTCATGTTAATGCTTATATTGTCTTTCGCTGTATAACTGGTCTGGGCTATCAATTACGACATGGTTTACAATTTTAATATATACAATCATTTTGAGAATTTTATATTTATAAGATTAGTTTTATTTTGCAATTTGCATTATGTAAGATTAGACTTAATGGTTGAAATTTGATGCCTGGAGAAAGAAATTTGTGCTTTAAATTATGTCCAAACCAGTATTAAACATTTTCATCATAAAAAATTGTAAATACTAAATTGTGTGTGTTTCTGATTGACAGATTTGTGTAATAGTTTCTTATTGTTCTCTTCATTGGTTATTCTTCATCGATTTTTTTAAGGTAATATATCTTTATCTTGTTTCTTTTCATGTAATGTTGATATATTTGTGAGACTTTTAGGTTATAACTTTTGCTAATGACCATAAAATACTTTTTGTTATTTTCGTACAACAACATTCGTGTAGTTTTATCAAAACTAAAAATGAATAATATTGGGAAACAAAGGAGAAGTGTGTAGCATAAAACTTGTGATCCGAAAAATAAAATATATAGAGGACACAAAGGAAGGTTAGTTGCACAAAGGAAAAATAGTTTGCATTCGTTTGCATATAAGGAAAATAACTTGCATATAAAAAAATTTTATTTGGACAAAGAAAAATTGTGTTGCACATGGCACGAAAGAAGATTATTGCACATAAGGTAAAATAAATTACACACAAAAAAAAGTTAAGTCATACATAATAGAAGTTAAGTTACACAAAATTCTCAGGTCTCGTTTGTCAATTAAATTTTCAACGAGAGTTTTATCTTTAATTTTTCCCCAAAAAAGGCCCTCTTCTTCATATTAGGATGAGACATGACTTTTATCTTCTAAACTGGGCCTAAGCGTGGCCCTGAAAGATTTTCATGTTTTGTGTATTAAATTTTCCATTGAAACCTTACTTTATTAGAATTTAAGCGCTAAATATTCTGGGACATTTTATAAAATGTTTTGTCCTCCATACTCCATTTAATTCTTTGCCTTATAAAATAATTTCTATAAAATTGTTGGGCCAAATCAATATTTTGATTATTTTCTAACTATTTTTTCTTGAATTATTCAAGAAAATAGAACATTAATTCTCATATAAATTAGTTTTAAAATTATGTAAGCTATTTTTGGAAAATAGACCTCTTCATAATATATCCAAATCCTCAAATAATGTTAATGTTGCCCCAATTTTCAAGACTCTGAATAATTTTATAAACTATTTCTTCTTTATTTTTTAAAAATTTCATCCGAAAATAGGTTTTTTGGCCAATAATTAATTTTTTAGGCAATTTAATTTTGAATAATATGTCTAAGCCTTAAATATTTCTTAGACAAGCTCTTTTATCCTTTCCAGATGTTATTGTATAGAATGAATAATATATATTTTATTTTATATATATTTTGCTAACGTATTATTTATATATATATATATATATATATATATATATATAAAGGCCGTTTTCTTTGCACTGCATAGCTAGATCTTATTCTATATATTACATGTTCAATCATAAAATTTAGCTCAGACAATCATCATAATCAATCACACAAACAACTGAACCAACACAATATTAATATCCAAGTCAATAACTTTGCTACCTTTCCTTTGGTATGACCTTTTTATTTGAAAATTTGATAAATATACATTATGATTTTTTTTTTGCATAGTTTTAATTATAAGATATGCGTATTTCCTTTTGATCCCAAATGATATTATGTGAAGGAATTAATTTTTAATCACTTTCATCTCAGACTTGTTATATATTTTCTATCAATAATATTTCTCATATAATGAATTCTTTTGCATATTTTTGGTTGGCAGGATTTGAGTTCTTGTATTAATCCAGGGGACTAAAATTTCTCAAAAAGAAAAGGCAAGGATATAATCTAATTTGCTAGTGTTTCTCTTTATTATTTTTATATCATCTTAATGTTTCTATTGTTATTTTCCTTACCCTTTCGAGAGAGAGAGAGAGATATATATATATATATATCAATTCTATTTTTAAAATTAATCATATTTTTAGCATTTTGGTGATGACTTCTATTACTAAGTATGAAGTGTGTCATATATCCAACACACCAAAAGAACAAAAGTAATGTGATATTCTAAAACTTGTTAGACTGTTAGTGGGGGGCTCTTGTCCTAGTCTTACTTGGACTTTTTTCTTTCAACCTGCATTACTTCTCTTCTTGTCGAAATATGGGGAAGGGCAACCTTTGGGGCCTGTTTGGATTGAAGACAGGGTGGAAGAGGTTTTAACCAATGGAATATGAAAAAATAATTATAATTTTATTATATTTTTAAGATATTTGATTTATTTGGATTTATTATCATTTTAGGATTTATTTATATTTATTAGTAGTTTAGTATTTTTATTATTAGGATTAGTTGTTGTTGTTGTTGTTGCTTTAGTATAATTAGATTTAAGGTTTTCATTCTATGGCAGACTTGACTATTAAATGATGTTGCAGTTATCGTTTTCTCTCGGCTTGTTTCCTCTTCTCTATTCTCTATTTTCCCTTCTTTGCTCTTTCTAATCTCTTCCTTTTCTCTTCCCTCTTCTCGTTTTATATCATCAACCTTACCTTGTCTGGTTTGATTAAATAGGAGGAGAGGAGGAATATTTAATGATCCTTTGTTTAATTCAAGGGAGGGAGGAGATGGATAGTAATAATCAATTTATCATTTTACCCTCACATATTAATTTTTATTTTTATTTATATATTACATAAATTAATTTATCTTAATTCAAATTATGTAATTTAATAAAAATGCAATATTGTTGTATTAATATCTGTGTTAAACAATTGGTACAGTAAATTTTTATTCTAATTAGCCTAATAATATATTTCAAATAATCAAATTAGCAAATTTACTTTGTTTTTTAAAAAATGAAATTTTTGTTCTCCTTTGACTATGCTTTTTCTTCGTGCTTTAAAACATATTTTAGTTAAGAAAATAATATTTTTGTAAAAACTAATTAATTTATAATAAGATAATTTTTCACTGTAATAATATTTTTTATTTTAAATTAATTTTGATTATAATATATTTTTAATTATAATAATATATATTTATTTAGAGTAATGTATTTTTATTTGAAATTATAATAATATATTTTTTATGTGTATTAATAAAATATAAAAAAAGTAAAAGAGTAAAATGGTCTAAGAATTTAGTTTCCCTCCAAAAAACCCTAATTTGGAGAGGAACTAAAATAGGAGAAAGTGAGGGAGGAGAGGGGGAATTTTTGCTCCCCTCCCCTCTAACATTTCTAACCAAATGAGGGGAGGCGCTCATTTTTCCTCTTCTCCCTCACCCTCCCCTCCAACCAAACAGGCCCTTAGAGATAGCTCCTTCCAACCAAACAGGCCTTTAAAAAAGGCGAGGATGGGGGCTACTTTTATTAGGCATGCATTCTCATTAGTGTCAAAATTGATTCGTTATGCTACATGTATGAGGTATCTCACGTACAATTCGGATGTTGTTGGAATTGTCTCTCCCAGAGGTAGCCAAAAAAACCCAATCAAAGCAATTAGTAAGAGGTAGGGACCAATCTACAAAAGCAAATAAGAAATGAAGAGAGACTAGAGCTAAAACCTGGAGTAACAGGGGAGTGATCTAAAGTGAATGAGCAATGAAAACAATGTATATTATTGTCCCAGAATTCTTTTGGCTTATCCACGAAGGCACTATTGGCTAGTTTCATAAGTAGATCAGAGGTGTATAACCATAGAGGATTATTTCCCAAATTTTGAATTTTGTCCCTTGATGAATACTTCCATCTTTTTCCTTCTCTTCCTAAAGTTGAAGCCTTAGAAGATTGGTGGAGAAAGATCAAAGGATGATTTATTCATGCCATTTTGAAGAACTTTCTCAGATGATGGTTATGAAAGGGTTTTGCTAGGTATGATACACAATTATTAAGTCAAAAATATTGGTGGTTAGTAATAGAATTGGCATGATTTAGGTACAACACAAGATGTCAAAGATTGGGGGGCTGTTTGCCTGTTCTAATGAAAACTTTTGTCTCTCATTTCTTCTATATCACATGGTTCCCCAGTCTCACTGTCCATTAAGCCATTCCTTCAAATAGCAAATTTTAATGTAGTCTAGGTGGCCTCCGATTTGAAACCACTATCCAAATCCAGCTTCAAAATGCATTATTTGAGTCATAATAATGTATGAATTATAGTGAATTTCTTTCAGGGTTCAACTTCATGTATTTTACTTTCTGAGATGATTACACTAAGTACCAACCAAATTAGTATACATTTTGCTCCTCTTTTTAGTTAGTCTCCTTCATTTTTCATCTTATTATAATCATTATGTGGATATTTCACAACTTAAATCAAGATAGAAAGATAGAATAACATTAACTTTATTTTCCTGTCAGATGGAGAGCATCCCTGTTGAACTTGTAAAGAATGAAACCCAAAGTTTAGTGAACTTGGTGAAAAATGAAGCTCAATATATATGTTGCTTCAATAGTTATGTTCAAGAGTATGAGCAGGCAAAAGGAAGATTGAAAGCAAAACTCGAAGATGTAAGCATAAAAATTAATCAAGCTAGAGGTGTTTCTCTTGTCACATCTGTAGCACTACAATGGACACGTGACGCTGAAGAACTCATTAATGTTGACACTAAGAAAGAGAAATGCTTTAATGATTTGTGTCTTAATTGCTGGCCTCAATATCAGAAAGGTAGAGACTTGGCGAAGAGGACTCTGGATATTGACAGACTTCTAAAGATATGTAACTTTGATATAGTGGTAGGTCTAACTGATCTTCCAGGTATAAAATACCATTGCTTACCAAATTTCACGCATTTTGAGAGCAGAAAGTCAATATTTAAAGAACTTCAAAAGGCACTAGAAGATGAAGGAAACAATATGATTGGACTCGAAGGCTTAGGGGGAACAGGCAAAACTTCAATGGCAACAGAAGTGGGTGCTGAATTGGAAGGATCCACATTCGGCAAAGTCATCTTTCTTGTTGTCTCTAAGCTTCCAGATTTCAAACATCTTCGAGGTGAGATTGCTGGACGTTTGGATTTGAAATCAGAGGATGGAGAGTACCACGAAAAAATATTGACCAAAATCAAAGCGTTAAAAGAGAAACTTCTTATAGTACTAGATGATGTGTGGGTGGAGTTTGATCTCAGGAAAGAGTTGGGGATTCCTCCTCCTCACCTGCACAAGGGTTGCACTATATTGATAACCACCCGGAGCAAAGAGATTTGTACAAAAATGGATTGTCAAAGGATCATTCATCTACAGGCACTGACTGATAAGGAAGCATTGCAACTTTTCCTCGAGCATGCTAATAGCTCCTCTACTTTGGAGAATTTGGCGCAAAAAATTGTGAAGCATTGCCATGGAGTACCAGTTGTAATTGTAGCTGTAGCAAGATCATTGAAAGATCGACCTTTTAAAGTTTGGACGGAAGCCTTGAGGAACTTGCAAAGTGGTGAGTCAATATTCAATGTTCGTGATGAAGATTTGAAGAAGGTCTATGAAGGTTTAAAGTTAAGCTATGATAATTTGAGAAATGAAAAAGCCAAAAAGCTCCTATTGATATCTTCTCTATTCCCCGAAGATTTTAATATTCCCATGGAGTTTTTAATTATAATTGGTGTAGGAATGGGCCCTTTTGGTAAGGAAGTTGATGACTACAACAAAAGAAGAAGAAAATCACTTGATGCTGTAGTGGAACTCCTAGGTTCTTCTTTATTGTTGAATGCTGAGAGGGAATGTGTAAAGATGCATGATTTAGTTCATGAAGTAGCCTTATTGATAGGACAAGAAGACATTCAATCCATCATTAAATCTGAACTATCTGTAAAAAAAGGGTTGCAATGTTTATATTGGAAAAATGATGATTTTTTGAGACCTTTTGATAGTCAAAACCTTGAGGTATTATTTCTAGTTCGAGAAGATCAAGAGGCTTTGGAAGTCCCTGATACATTCTTTATAGAGATGACAAAGCTCAAAGTTTTGTTTTTACAAAATAAAGCTTGGCATCGAATTTCAGCTCCATCACTGTTTCCATTAATTCAGTTATTACAAGATATTCGAACTCTCTGGATAAAGAATTTTAATTTACATAGCAACATCTCTATGTTGGGAGGGTTATCAAATCTTGAGACACTTTGGTTGGATGATTGCTCAATCATTAAACCTGGAAAAAAATTTGAGCTACAGAAGTTGAGATTCTTAAGGATAGAAAATTGTGACAGTAATATGAATAATCCTTTTGAATTGATTGAAGCATGCCCAAAGCTAGAGGAGTTGGCTTTTTTGAGTAATGATTATGTCAAGCAGGAAGAAGATACAATTTCTCAAAAAGTATCTCTTCCTTCCTTACAAATATATCAAATATCTTCTAAGGGCAACTTTTTGGATTATTTTAAGCAATGTGGTCCCTGTCAAGATGCTTTCAGCCAGGTAGTTTAACGCATTTAATCTCTGAGGCAACATTTAGGCAACTTGCAAGAACAGCTGAGCTTCTTAGCTTAAGTGGGTATGGAAAACAGAAAAATCTTATCCCTGACATTGTTCCAGTAGATGACACAGGTATGACTGACTTGATCATTCTTCAATTGGATTCTTGGCCTGACATGCAATGTCTCATTGATGCTGTGAACAATCGCTTTGACGTGAAGAATGCCTTTTCCAATTTAGTTGGACTATATCTTTCTAAAATGGGACTAAGCAATATATTATTTAATGGCCACTATAACCTGTGTCATCTGAAGACCTTGAAACTGAAGGAGTGTCCAAAGCTGACGTCAATTTTCCTCCCATCCACTGCTCAAAGCCTTTTGCAGTTAGAAGAGTTGAACATTAAGAGATGTGATGCATTGGAATGCATTGTAGAAGATCAGAGTTCAAGAGGGGAAATAGCTGGTGGTGATGGTGACAATGATCAAAAGAGCTACGGCACTCTGTTTCCAAAGTTTAAAATTCTTAAAATTGATAGTTGTGACAATTTAGAAATAATATTGCCAATCCTTCACGGTGGATGGCATCTGGAAAGAATAATCATACAGCAGTGCAAGAAGTTGAAATATATATTTGATAAGTTCCAAGAGGTCAATGTTATGCTCCCCTCTCTGGAAAGAATGCAACTTGTTAGTCTGTCAAGTCTGGTTGGTGTTTTCAGGGAGTATGAAAAATCCACCTTTGTCACCACAACGACCAGCACCCACGCCTCCAAGCACCAAGATACGTTCTTTTTCTTGGGGTCAAGTATGTTGTTTTAAATCAAAGGCGACAAGTGAAGAGGCTGATGTTGCTGTTTCTACGGGGAGATTGCTTGACAAAGGAATCTCACAGGTATGATCAGCTCGCTTCCCTACTTATGTTCAGATTTCTTTAACATTCAAGTCTCTCTCTTGTGAATTATATGTTGTTAATTATTTCAAAAAGAAAAATGATTTACAATTAAATAAAATAAGGTATGAGTATTAAAAATATTTATTGTGATCCTTGGTACGATACTATAAAGTACCTGTTTTTGCATGATTGACTGAATCTGTAACAAGATTTTGTAAATACGTCTTGTTATAACAATCGTTCCTGAGTAAAAATACACATATTCATGCGCATGCACACATGCCTTTTATCGCAAGAAATATAGTTAACAATGCTTAACACATAAAAAATTTATGATATATCTTTGTTGAATTTCTTGAAATTATAATCGGATAATGATGGTTTCCTAGATTTCAACCAAATTACACATAATCTACTACAACAAAAATCTTCATTACCTCTAAGTTATTTTCCTAGTTTAGATATCTATGAGCATTATGATTGCGTAAACAACAATGTCTTTTTGAAGGGATTACTTGCATCTAAGAAATGGATTGATAATGCTCCTACACTTGGGAGGCAACTAGCACTCCATGTTGTTGGTCATATCAGGAAGATGGAACTTGCATATCTCTCTTCAAATTCGCTGTCAACTTTGTTCACTTTATCCATGGCATCAGCGATATCATGGAAAGAATTGACAATCATCGGTTATGATGGGCTGAAGCACTTGGTAACGAGCGAGGAGGATGATTATAAAGATGAAATCAGTTGCAGTTCCATTTTCCCAAAGTTACAGGAACTTCATATCTCAAAGTGTAATGACTTGGAATTTTTATTTCTGTCTGCAATATCTATAGAAATCAAGAATTTAAAGTCCTTGATCATTGAAGGTGCTCCTCAGCTAACATATGTCATTGAGAAATACCAGCATCACCATCGTTTATCCAATCAAAATCAGAATGACGAGTGGCACTTTGGTCTCCCTGCTTTGGAGGTCCTCTGTTTAGATAGAGTAACTAAGTTCATTAGCATTGGTCCAATGAATTATAAAATGGTGTCACCATCTCTGCAACACATTTGTTCAGACAAAGCACAACTGAATTCGAATACCACAAAGGTAATGCTCTCTTGCTGTCGTGATGTTGTTCGTTCTTTATTGATACACTTGCTCAAAATTGAAATCTAAAAAAATGAGGTTTGAAAGCGCTTTATAAATTTTTTTACGTACGTGATTGATACTTAATTTGCTAAATTTCTTGAAATTATAGTTGGATGAAAAGAGTATTAAAAAAAAAAAAAAGGTCAGATGAAGATTGACTATATGATGTGCTAGTTTTCTAGATTTCATGCATGTCTACAAGTATCACTTAAAAATTTAGCTATATGCGTGGGTGTGTGTATAACTGTATATCTTAGGTGTCAAAAGAAATATATCACAGACAAAGTGAAATATAAAGAAAAAGAAAATGAGATTTGAAAACACTTTATAAAATTTTTTTGTTAACGACTATGAATTCTAAAATTTCAAAAAATAATTAAGATCACTGGTTAGAATTAAATTTTTTATATTGATTCTTGCTATATTCTTCATTTTTTAATTACATAAATTTGACCACTTCAATCATTGTTTTTAATATTTCCAACATTCATATTTTCAATTTTTTCATACCTAAATTTCTTTTTTTTTTTAACCAATTACTCAACTTCGATGTTTTCAACACTCATTTAGTTTCTTTTTTATTGAAAGCATAAAAAAGAGTAGGAAATAGATAAAAATATTGAAAAAATTGAAAATAGTAGTATTAAAAAATTAAAGTTGACTAGTGAGAAAATAAATTTAACAAAACTTTCGATTTCAACCAAAGAGTTTGGTCCATCTTTGATATTCTTAAACTTCACAGTCCTTTATATAATTAATGTTTATTGGAGATTCTTTGGTAAAAAAATGTTTATAGAAGATACTTAAATGTCATTTTTACAAACATTAATTATTTTGATGCAAAAAAATACAATTATTTATGGATTTTCTAATATTCTACTCCTTTTACATTAATTGTTTGTTTATTAATATTAACGAAAGGTGGCATTATAACTCAAAGTGGGTGACAAAGACAAACATTTGAGAATGAATATATTACACAACAAATTATATTAATTTATAAATGCGTTGATCATATTGTCACTGTGAAGTGAAACATATATTAATTTGACGCAATCATCTATGTATATTCTAATATAGTAAGCTTTTAGATTAGTTGATTGTCGACCCATTATATATTAGAATATCAGAATGGGGCACAATAATTCAAAGGGCTAAATTCAAGAAAGACGATGAACATATGACAGTGAGAGATCTAATAAATTTATTTTTGGGAATAACTAAGATAAGGTATCAAAATACTCTACTTTTTGGTTAAATTGATGTATATTGATACTTTATGAAGACGCATAGGTATCATGTTTTGATTTATTGTTATGCTTTGATATTATTTTAATTTGCTGTACATTACTGCATATAAAATTTACTTATAGTTTTTTTCAGAATCTTTATTACCTCTTAAGTTATTTTCCTAGTTTAGATATCTGAGCATAACAATTGCGTAAAAAACAATGTATTTTGAAGGGATTATTTGCATCAAAGAAATGGATTGATACTGCTCCTACACTTGGGAGGCAACTAGCACTCTATGTTGTTGGTCATATCAGGAAGATGAAACTTGCATATGTCTCTTCAAATTCAGGATCAACTTTGTTCACTTTATCTATGGCATCAGTGATATCATGGGAAGAGATGACAATCAGGGGTTATGATGGGCTAAAGCACTTGGTAACGAGCGAGGAGGATGATTATAAAGATGAAATCAATTGTAGATCCATTTTCCCAAAGTTACAGGAACTTCATATCTCAGAGTGCAAGGACTTGGAATTTTTATTTCTGTCTGCAATATCTATAGAAATTAAGAATTTAAAGTCCTTGATCATTGAAGGTGCTCCTCAGCTGACATATGTCATTGAGAAATACCAACATCAGCATCGTTTATCTTATCAAAATCAGAATGACGAGTGGCACTTTGGTCTCCCTGCTTTGGAGGTCCTCTGTTTAGAGAAAGCACCGAAGTTCATCAGCATCGGTCCAATGAATTATACAATGGTGTCACCATCTCTACAACACGTTTGTTCAGACAAAGCACAACTGAATTCGAATACCACAAAGGTAATGCTCTCTTTTTGTCCTGATGTTTTTTGTTTTCTATTGGTACACTTACTCGAAATTGAAATGTAAAAAAATGAGGTTTGGAACACTTTATAAAAATTTTTTACGTACGTGTTTGAGACTTAATTTGCTAAATTTCTTGAAATTATAGTTGGATGAAGAGAGTGTAAAAAAAAAAAAAAAGAAGTCAGATGAAGATTGACTACATGATGTGCTAGTTTTCTAGATTTCATGCGTGTCTACAAATATCACTTGAAAATTTAACTGTGTGCGTATGTAGATCTTAGGTGTCAAAAAGAAATATATCACGGATACAGTGAAACACTTTATAAATTTTTTTTGTTAATGACTATGAATTTTAAAAGTTTCAAAAAAGGATTAAGATTATTGGATAGAATTAAATGTTTTATATTGATTCTTTTCTATATTCTTCATTTTTTAAGTAGATAAATTTAACCACTTCAATTCTTGTTTTTAATATTTTCAATATTCATATTTCCAATTTTTTAATACCTAAATTTCTTTTCTTTTTTGTTCCCCCCAATTACTCAACTTCGATGTTTTCAACATTCATTTAGTTTCTTTTGTATTGAAAGCATTAAAAAGAGTAGTAAATAGATAAAAGTATTGAAAACATTGAAAATAGCAGCATTAAAAAAATTATTGTCGACTAGTGAGAAAATCATCTCAACAAAACTTTTGATTTCAAACAAGGAGTTTGGTCCATATTTGACGTTTTTAAAATTCACAGTCCTTTATATAATTAATATTTATAGGATATTCTTTGGTTTAAAAATGTTTATAGAAGATGCTTAAATGTCATTTTTTATATGCAAACATTAATTATTTTGATACAAAAAATACAATTATTTATGGATTTTCTAATATGCTAATCCTTTTACATATTAATTGCTTGTTTATTAATATTAACCAAATGTGGCGTTATAACTCAAAAGGGGCGACGAGGACAAACATTTAAGAATGAGCATATTACACAGCAAATTATATTAATTTATAAATACGTTGATCATATTGTCATTGTGAATTGAAACATATATTAATTTGACACAATCATTTATGAATATTCTAATACAGTAAGCTTTTAGATCAGTTGATAGTCGAGCCTTTATAAATTAGAATATTAGAATGGAGCACAATAATTCAAAGGGTTAGACTCAAGAAAGACGGTGAACATATGACAAAAAGAGATATAATAAATTTATTTTAGCGATTGATGTTTTGCTTAAAACATTTTGATTTATTATGTATTAACGTATATTTAAATTTTATATGTTGTTTATTTTGGAATAAGATTGATTTATTTTCTTGGCGATAAATATAGCTTTCTAAAGATTTGTGTTTATAGGAATTAGATCCATCCACATGTGGAGTTTTTCTTTGCCACGCAGCTCAAAGCCTTTTGGTGCAATCATTGAAGAATGTTACGACAATAGAACTTGCAGATTGTGGAAACATAATATCACTGTCAACTCTCTCCATTGCGGCCTCAACAACTTCGTTGGAAAGTTTGACAATCAGGGAATGTCATAAACTGAAGTGCATCACAACACATGAGGGAGATGCTCAAGTTGATAATAAGAATTATTGTTCCATTTTCCCAACACTAGAGGATCTATATATTCAGGATTGCAAGGAGTTGGAATTTGTATTTCAATCATCAATATCTGGTGGTCTTCAAAAATTGAAGTCTTTGCGTATTTGGTTTGTTCCTGAACTAAAATATGTTGTTGGGAACTACCAGCAAGATCAGCAAAATGAAGAGCTGCATTTCGATCTCCCTGCTTTGGCGACCCTCTTGATCAGACATGCGCCAAAGATCAAAAGCATTTGTGCCAAAAATTATAAGATGGTGCTGTCATCTCTTCAGGATGTTGAGATGTCGAATTGTAGCATTAAATCTTTCGATGATTATGACATGGTGAATTCGACGACTTCAGAGGTACACTCTCTTTAACTTCTGTACATATGATTTGTTCTGTTTTGATAATGTTTATTACAAATGGAGTATTATTTTATCAAAATGAAATTATTTATGACCGTCTTTATATGTTGAGCGTTTCTTTGGCTCAATTCAGCTTTTAGATTAGTTGTTTATTAACAAATATTGAATTAATTGTTGCCTAAGGTGATATTAATATGTGGTTACCAGTAAAGACTTCGAATAAAAAAAAGGTTATGAATGGATTATGCTAATTAACACGTAAAATTACGTCATTTAGCTCTATATATATATATATTTAGGAAAATGAAACTTTATTACTCAGTTTCAATCTGTTTGGTGTTTTAATTAGCATTAATTTGGTCTTAATGATTTCAAATAAAACATTACAAAAAAACAGGATATTAGTTATGGAATTTAGCGATGGAATTTATTCATATGTCGGACAGAATAGCACACACAAAGGCGATAATCATTTTAAATTGAAGAGATTTTTTTTCCCATTATAAACACTTTACGTAATTTTTCATTGACAAATTATCAAATGGAATGGGGTGTAAGGAAGCTCATATAGAGTTGAATTAAGTTTTTATTTGCTCTAATATTATTTGTTGGACATGATATGACTACATAAAAAATTTACATACTCAAATTTTACTGATTGTTTTTTTCAATAAATCTTCACTGATTGTTTGTTTTGGAATAAGAATAATTTATTTTACTAATTGTTGTTATGTTAAAAATATCTTTGATTTATTATGTATTATTATATATTCCAATCTTGCATATTGTTTAGTTTAAAATAAGAGTGATTTATTCCGTTGGTGATAGATATAACTTTTTAAAGATTTGCGTATATAGGAATTAAATTCATCTACAGATAGAGTTCCTCCTTTCCATGCATCTCAAATCTTATTATGTATTAATGTATATTTAAATTTTATATATTGTCTGTTTTACAATAAGATTGATTTATTTTCTTGGCGATAAATATAACTTTTTAAAGATTTGTGTTTATAGGAATTAGATCCATCCACATGTGGAGTTTTTCCTTCCCACGCAGCTCAAAGCCTTTTGGTACAGTCATTGAAGAATGTAAGGGCAATTGAACTTGAAGAATGTGAGAAAATAATATCACTGTCAAATCTATCCGTTGCCTCAACAATTTCATTGGAAAATTTGAGAATACGGAAATGTCATAAACTGAAGTGCATCACAACACATGAGGGAGATGCTCAAGTTGATAATAAGAATTATTGTTCCATTTTCCCAACACTAGAGTATCTATATATTCAGGATTGCGAGGAGTTGGAATTTGTATTTCAATCATCAATATCTGGTGGTCTTCAAAAATTGAATTCTTTGTATATTAGGGAAGTTCCTGAACTAAAATATGTTGTTGGGAACTACCAGCAAGATCAGCAAAATGAAGAGCTGCATTTTGAGCTTCCTGCTTTGGAGACCCTCACCATCATAGATGCACCAGAGATCAACAGCATTTGCGTTGAGAATTATAAGATGGATCTGTCATCTCTTCAGAATGTTTTGATGTCGATTTGCGGCATTGAAGCTTTCGATGATTCTGACATGGTGAATTTGACAAATACAGAGGTATACTCTCTTTAACTTTTGTACATATGATTTGTTCTGTTTTGACAAATGGGGTATTATTTGATCAAAAGCATATTATTTATGACTGTCTTTATATGTTGAGCGTTTTTTCCGCTCAATTGAGCTTTTATATTAATTGTTTATTAACAAATATTGAATTAATTGTTGCCTAACAAGAGTGATATTAATATATGGTTACCAGTAACGACTTTGAATTTAAAAAAAAAAGGTTATGAATGGATTATGCAAATTAACACGTAAAATTACGTCATTTAGCTCCATATATATATATTTGGGAAAATGAAACTTTTATTACTCAAAGTTTCAACCCGTTTGGTGTTTTAATTAGCATTAATTTGGTCTTAATGATTTCAAAATGTCGGATAAAATATATCTCAAGCTTTGAGTGCCTTAGTGACATCAATACAGTTTCAGTTAATGTGCTGTGTTCTTTTTTTAACCACTCGTATACTTAGGTATGTGGATAATTTAATTATTTATTTAATGAAATTGTATGGACCAAGTTAATATTAAATAAAACATTTGGGTCAAATTGCAAATCTTTTACAGATATCTTTATCCATATGTCGGACAGAATAACACACACAAAGGCGATAATCATTTGAAATAGAAAAGATTTTTTTTCCATTATAAACATTTTACGTAATTTTTCATTACCAAATTATCAAATGGAATGGGGCGTAAGGGAGCTCACAAAGAGTTTAATTAGGTTTTTATTTGCTCTGATATTATTTGTTGCATATGATATGACTACATAAAAAATTTACACGCTCAAATTTTCCTGATTGTTTTTTTTCAATGAATCTTCACTGATTGTTTGTTTTGGAATAAGAATGATTTATTTTACTAACTGTTGTTATGTTAACAATATCTTTGATTTATTATGTATTATTATATATTCCAATCTTGCATATTGTTTATTTTAAAGCAAGAGTGATTTATTCTGTTGGTGATAGATATAACTTTTTAAAGATTTGTGTTTGTAGGAATTAAATTCATCTACAGGCAGAGTTCCTCCTTTCCATGCATCTCAAATCTTGTTGGCGCAATCATTGAAGAACGTTAGAAAAGTGTACCTATTCCTATGTTGGAACTTAATATCATTGTCAACTCTATCCCTTGCCTCTACAATTTTGTGGGAAGATTTGACAATTATAAGATGTGATCAACTGAAGTGCATTGTGGAAGATGAGGCAGATACTGGAACTCGCATGAACTACAATTATTCCATCTTTCCAAAGTTGAAACGGTTAGAAGTTTCAGACTGCAACGCATTGGAATATTTATTCCCATCACATGCTTTCAGATGCCCTGCATATTTGGTGAGAAGCCTGCCAATGTCGCAGAAGCTCAGTAGATCAAAATGTGAAGAATTAGTTAACATTGTTGAAGAAGATTATGGAACAAATGATGATGATTATCATTTGTGCCGTGAACCATGCTTTCCCAACTTAGAACAAGTCTCTGTCATTCGTTGTGACAAATTGAGCTACCTGTTCTCTATCACTATTTTTGGTATCCTTCCAGAACTAAGATCTTTGGAGATAGTTACAGCCAATGAGCTTGAGCATGTACTGGTAAGACAAGGAGAGATGAAAGAGATGACCATGAAGGATGTGCTTCCACAACTAAGTCAATTGAGGCTCATAGATCTTCCCAACCTTGCTAGTCTCTGCTATGGGATTGATTTTCAAACTTTGAAAGGAGACAATAACACGGAAGTGGATGATTGTCCCAAGTTTTCCTTTTATGGTATGCATTCAGAGAAGTATTTAATTCTCTATAAAATTGAAAATTATTATGAGTTTTATTATAACATTAAAAATCCTACTTTCAGAAATTCCAACTACTCAGCTTCAAGCAGGTCCTGAAACCACATGTTCTCAAGTTGAAGAAAAAACAGAAGAGAAGCTTTCTTCTCATCTCAATACCGAACAATATTTAAACATGGGAGAAACAACACAACAATCCCTCACGGAGGTATGATTTTGATTGCTAATGGCATCATTTTACTGCTTCTCCAATGGTTCCCCTCATCATTATATGTATGCTTGATTATTTTAATTTTGTCGCAATGGTCGGAAAGTTCTATCCTTTTTTGTGAGAAAAACAGAGTTTGACTATCATATTTAAAATGCTGAAAATACACCCACGCGTGGGTACACACTAGTGTGGTGTATTCCAACTGCTTAATGAATTTGACATGAACTGGAAAAAAAGAAAAAAAACTTATAGTTTTGGACAGGGTATTGAAGAAACAATATATTTTTCCATAAGCATGGTAGTTTAAAAACACCAAAGAGACATCATCATCATTTGATTGATTTTTTGTTACATCATTTGATTCTAATTTTACGAGGTGGCAGACCTTTAAGAATTGATTTTAATTTTATTAAGGAGTGGGTTGGAAATCTGAAATAAAAAAAATAGTAAATAACAATTTTTTTTTACAAAGGAAATAAATAAAGTTACGGTTAAACCTTATTTAGGTTCACTAATTAAAGATGTTTAGCCATTTAAGAACCACTTATGATCCCTTAGAATCCCAGAAAGGCCAACAATTAAAAATTTTTTCCCCAAAACACTCTAGGTTCTATCACTAATGCTTTGCTATTATTGGGATAAGATTCTAAAATATTTAAAAAATTCATAACTAATGCAATATAGCTCCAAAAATAGTGGTTCGCAGCTTTTACTTTAGCTCTTGAAAAAGCTTTATGCTCCAACTAATTCTTAGCTCCCCCTCCCCACCCCCAAAAAGTACTGTACTACATTTAAAACTATTGGAGCCTTTAAATTAATCAATGTTCATTTTTATCTGCCTCAAGCATGTAGGCTGAACAGGGCGGCTTTACAAATTTAATTTTGTGTCTAATATTCCCAAACTTAGGCTAGAGACTTGCTACTACACCAAGGTCTTTGCTAAGCTCATTATCATATTCGAATTTAACCAAAACTTGACTTCCGCTTACAAAAAGTATGCTATCCAAAACAGGGCTTTTAGACATGCCTTTGGTATAGTTTGGGAACTTAAAACACTTGTTACATGTTATAACATATCAAAACTACATTTAAACCTCTCTGAGTCATAACTTTGAGTCCAAACAGGGGATAAGAACTGTAGTTCAGAAGGCTAATGCTTTGATATTCCTATTGCCCATCTAACCACTATGTGGGAGCCACCAGACCCTTTGCCTGTGCAGTTCATGATCATCCGCTTTAAAAGTTTGGACAGCCTTCCCTTTACATTTTAAAATTTTCCAGATTCATAAACTCCTCTTTTAAATACATTGAGGGGTTTAGACTTTATATTCAACCAAACCTAATTCTCTCTATGCCAATTACTTTGACAGAGCAAGGGAAGAGGATAAAACTTGGTTTAACCACTTCACTTCATCCATATTTCACCTCGAAGCCTCTATGTATTTACCGTATTTTAGTTCTCAATTAAATATAAATTTAATACATAATGCAACATTAAATTTGTGGGAAAAATTCAGCTTTTGAATTCCAGATTTCAGCTCCCATAAGAGAAGTCACATAATAATAGTAACCCCACAAGCTTTAATCCATCATTTAAATATGATTTCTACAGCTTAATGAAAAGTCTAGGCCTGCATTGCAAAACAAACCTCCCTGTCCCTCACTTTACTGTCTATAAACCAGATTGAAACCTCTCGTCTACTTGCAAAACAAACAGCCACTGCAAAAAACATTGATGGAACAAGGTTTAAGGTCCTTACCTTGGTCTAAATGTTCGGTTACATCTGAGAGAAGAACTTTCCTTCTTCTTCGATCACTTCTTCACCTCCCCCAAGTGCTCTCTCTCTCTCTCTCTCTCTCTGTGATGCTCTTCTTTTTTGGACTTAGTGCACCATATCCAATACCCTTCAAATTGGGCTATGCATTGGCCCAATTTCCTTTTTAGACTTGGATAGTGAAACTGCCATTGTGCCGTCACTATTGGCACTAAACTTTCCCAATGAATTCCAAAAAATTAGTCCGGGACACATTATGAAGATTTTTTTAATTAGCTTCTCTAACTCCTAAAATAAGTTTTGTAAAATTTTCAGGCTGAACATTAGCCTCCAACTATTTTTAATTCAATTTTCAGAAAAATAGGCCCTTATATCCCATAAATTAGTTTTAAAATTATAAGTCATTTCTGGAAAATATAAACCTCCTCATAATATTTCTAAATTCTCAAAATAAAACAATTTTAATAATTAATTTTTTATTTCCTTGAATTCTCATACAAAATAGACTTTTTGACCAATAATTCATTTTTGAGACATTTAAATTTTAAATAATGTCCTTAAACCTCAAATATGCTTTGAAAATCTCTTCTCTACTTTTCGAGAGTTCTCTCAAATTTTTGGGCTTTTTTTATAATTATAATTTTGTTCTATATTTTCTCTTATTTAATCTTTTGCCCTAAGCTCATTATATTTTTCAACTTTTAGGTCAACTATCTTATTTAACCCATATTCAAAATTCAAATATTACAATTACTACGAAATATTTTAGCTAATTCATTAATTCTTTTTCATGCAAAGGTTTCACCAAAACTGACATTAATTTTTTTATTTATAAATTTTTATTCTTTATTTATGTCTCTATCACACAATAATTTTCTTTATTTGCTTCAAAGTTGTCATATGAACTTTAACATATAATTTGAAGGGAATAAAATGGGAAAAAAATTCAGATCAAGTTGCTTATATCCATTATGTCAAGTTCTCCAATCATGTATTACCATGTGTTCTTTTTTGTTTCATGTGGATTTATAACTAAATGTTAATATTTCAAAAATAGGACACATAGTCATTTGTGATTGGAGAACTTAACACAATGAATATAAAGAACTTGATATGAGTATTATCCTTTAAAATGCCAACAAGAAACTCTTAAGATACATAAATATGGTGTGTATTCCAAATTTTTTAATGAATTTGACATGAACTAATAAGCAAAGTTTCATCTATAGTGCTGGCTATGCAGAAACAATATTGATGTTGATGAGCATGATATCTAAACTGTGTCAAAAGAACAATCATCATCATCATCTGAATCATTAGTTTTGTTATGTTGAATAATGAAGAAGAAAGGAATCCTAGTGTTAATGAATTCAACGTTTGAAACTTTTTTTTATCTTCTGCTATACATGAAGCAACAAAGAATACTATTGAAGAAGGTCTAAGACCAAAGTTGCAAAAATCAAAAAATTTTAAGACTTATTTGTTAGACAATCTCTTTAAAGATTAGTTTTATATATTGTGGTGTTGGTCTGGTTACAAAGAAAACAGCTACACTAATTTATCATCTTTGTTTTATATGACCACTGGTTTCCAACAGAAGGTGCCAGCTCATGCAACTCCCAACCTCACTGTTCTTCCTATAAGAGATAACACTCACGCAAGTGCTAAAATATTTGAAGAGGAAGAGGAAGAAGAAGAGGAAGGTAAAGTATTGATTTGTTAGTTTTGTATTAGAAAAATACTAGTTATTTATTTTATGGGTTTACAGACAGCTTGATAACATCCCGACGTCCCCGAAATGGCAAGAAAGTTAGCAGTTCTTTACCAGAGAAAAAGCTTGAAAACTCTACTGATGGTACTTGCTGTTTTCTTTAAATGAAATCTTTAATTAATTTCTTCCTTTGATTTGATATAATAATCATTTTTTCATGGGTGACCCATGTGTGCCCCCAGAAACAAATGTTTCGAGCGAACAAACTTCAACAAGCCTTAACCAAACTCCTTCATCTATTATCCCCAAGCATTCTGATGGTAGGTTTCCTTGCTGTCTTCTTATATTGACACTTCATTTAATCATTGTAGTGTCAAACTTGCCAAAACTATATATCAAGACTACCTTATCAAGCAAAGACAGATGTTGCTATAAGAAGTACCATTGACCTTATAGAGGATTCTAGTCTATGCTCTAGTAATTCTACTCATTGCACATCTGATCTTTATTTTATTCAATTATTATTTTTAATTTCCATTCTAACATCACTTTATTAATTTAAGGGATATATCTAAAATGTTGAAACTACTAACTAGTGAGCCCCAATAATGTAGATTATGTTGAAGTTTGTGATAAGTCTCATCCGCATTCAAGCTCTTCATTTGAAGGTGTCGACGGCGGGGAAAACAAGGAAGCAGGTATGGTTCAAAATGAATCTATCTCGAATGTTGAAATAAGTAACCCAGCACAAAGGGAACAAGAGTCGTCACATTCTAAAGGTTATTAACCTCTTTCCTCTATTGTTGAAAATATAAAACATAAGTGAACTTGAATCCTCTTTCCTGTTATCCCTGTGAATACTTCTCATTCAGCATTGTTGATTTCGTTATCTTCATTTTCTAATGCGATGGTCTTTTTCTGGGCCAAATTCAAACAATAAATCAACTAACAGATTCACAACCAAGAAGAGCAATGCCAGCAACACTTTTTGTTAATATTTCCGAAGAAGAATCCTCAAAGGTAATACTATTGCTATTTCTTCATACATAAAGATTATAGGTTTTTCTTTATATTTCTATCTAGCTAGTTCTACTTCTATTAGATAAGATTCATGTATTGTCATGCCCTATTATGATAAGTACTGAGTAACTGTCATAAAGGCATTTTTCGCATTTACATAGATTGAAACTCAAGATTTTGTATTTAAGAGACCTTAGTTTCTTCGACTAAGATCAACATCTGTTGGCATATGATATACAAATTTATTCTAGATAAAATGGAGTTATCCCACTTTCTTATTCACAGCTAAAATGAATTCTCATTCTATCCACAAGAAACTAAATTTGACATACAATAAGAAACAAAAACAACTTAAAAGTTTATTGAGGATTATATTTATGATGGTTTATCATCTCAGAAGAAAGCAACTTAAATATCTTTGGTGATATACAGATTGTTGAAGGAAGAGCTAAAGATGGTGCTTCAATATTAGAGACCCCACATCCAAGTTCCTTAACTTCCAAACAGGTTTGCTTCTTCCAACAATTTTACAATTTAATATATTTGTTATTCCTATATTAACAATTATGAATGGTTTATTATGCAAGGAACCTGTTCTCGTGAGTCCCAATCCCACTATTCTCCCCAGAAGCCCAGGTACAACTGCCAAAATTTTTGAAGAAGAAGAGAAAGGTAAGATGATAGTCTCCACAATTTCAAGATTTATAGCTCCTTTAGTTATTTATCTTGGGCAGTGAATTCTTTGCCAGTAGGAAAAGAGCACAAGACTTTTGATCATGGTATTTGTGGCTTTCTTAAAACGAAATATTTCTCGCTGTGATTTACTAACTATATATTTATATACTTCATTGACTTGGTATAGGTGACCCCTTTGTGCTACCAGTGCCAATTATTTCAAGTGAGCAGCAAGCTTCTGAGACTATAAGTCCTATACCATCAAAAGCTCTAATGAGTCCTAAGCAAACTCCGATGTGCACTCCCTCTAAGACTTCTTATGGTGAGTTTTTTGGCTGTCTTATTTTACTAACTTACCTTTCACTTTATCATTTTGTAATTTTAGACAGATGTCATATTCTGATTGCTTCATCCAGGAAGAAAGATCCAAGAGAATGTGGGAACCATTGACCACCGTTTGCGTGAAACTTTGGGTGCTATTCAAATTTCTAGTAAGTCTTGTGTCCTTACCATTACATGTTTGCATTTGTTATACTTGACTTGATTCCTTCATTGAATATGAGTAGTTTGATTCTCTAAGCTTGCTTTTATTTTAACTCACCTGCTGATTTGCTGGTTTTGGTAGGTCAACCTATTGAATGTGGTTCATCACACATGGCCCCTTCTGTTTATGAAACCAATAATAATTTATTAAGTGTTCATGGGGTAAAAGAGATAGCTGATATGATGAAATTAGAGGGTGCTGAGCCTTTCATGCTAGCAGAAGCATTCCAGACTCATCCACGACTTCATCTTTCTTCAGAGGATCGAAGCACTGAGTTGTTATGCTATTCCTATAGGGTGCTACTAAATATTTTGAACATTCTGGCCACTAGGAGCCCCTCCACAATCACTGAGGTGGACAAGATATTGTTGGCAAAGCATTTAAAGGATGCTTCTGTTCTGGGATTTGACAAGGATTGGCTTGAGTCAGTTAGGAACAGGGTTTCCAACAGTGATGCATCAGAACTCCATCACATGCAACAAGCTTTGAAGGGTTTAGGCAATAAGCTCCGAGCCAATAAAATAGAGCTTGCAAATATTCGAGACCAGGAGGCGAAAGCTGCAAAATTGGTAGAAATGACTCAGAAAGAGTTGGAGGCCACACATAAAGAATTAGAGGCAGCATATAAAGGGTTGGAAGCAGCTCAATCCCATTTTAATGTCGCACAACAAGAACATGCAAACATTAGAGCACGTTATTCTCAACTCTTAGAAGAATGCCAGGGAATTTCAGAACAACAGTATCAATGTTCAGAAATTATTGCTGCCAAATTCAGGCCTTTCGGCTTCTAACATGGATGCCATGTGAAACTTTGTTATTGCCATTTCAATTAAGGTCATTGTCGTACCTTTATTTCAAACAAAAAATAAAAGTAATACTCTCATGGACATTGTAATATTGCCGTACCTTTATTTTGCACAAGGATCGCACATGACATTACAGACTTGTTGTACCTAAGGGTTATTTTCCTTGTTAAGATCTTATATATGTGTTTGGTTTCTAGATGTGTTTATCTTCGCCCGTTTGCTACTAGTTAAATTGAATATAGTGCATCAACTACATATATGATAAGGCATAATTAGGTACTTTGCTCGACACTGACACACAATATGTTAACATCAGTGTCATGTATAATTGTCAAAGGGATGCTGCATCTCATTGTTTAAATTTTGGCTCTACACATTTTCTAATTACATGTTTGAATTTTTAACTCCAGACCTCTAACTGAATCTCATCCAACTTATCATTCAAGCTATCCGCAAGTGACAAAAAATTACCCAACTTGTTCATGAATTTTGTTTGCAATTTTGACTTCAATAACATTTTAAACTGATTTATTTTAGAATTATCAAGGACATTTATTATAGATTTAAAATTTAGTCCGCAAATATTATCATTTAAATTTTATTCTTAACCTAACAATTAGATAACTAGTATTTTTTGTCAATATTTCTAGCTATATGTTAATCAGTTTGCACATGACTTGTCTCCGATTTTACTGTCCCAAAATATTTTGACAGATATTAAGCAACATAATAAAGTTTAAAATTTTTAAAACAAAATTTAAGTAAATAAATAGTTTTTAATCACTTTCCCTTAATCAAGAAATCACCATATTAACTAAATAATTTACAACTTTTCATTGGCAAGCCAATAGCTTGAAATTTCAATTTAATGGGTAATGAGTTTTGCATTTAATTGAAAGCATATTTAGTTTTACCTTAATATCTATCAAAACTATATAATAATTCTGTTTTTGGGTAAAATTAGCTCCTAATTGATTTCCTACTTGCACAAAATTATTACTTTCTGATGTATGAAATATTCAAGCGCAAGGATTAAGAAAGCAAGATGTTAAGCATAGAAACGACATACATAATATAATACAAGACCAGACCAATCATGACAAGAAGATGACAACTCCATAGGGGAATGATTAACAAGAGAAGGAAGGAAGGAAGAAAATGATAAGAACAATAGATCACTTAATCAAAGACTACTCTCGGGTGAGATTGTACAATCTCTTGAACATACCCAAAAAAAAAAAAAAACTCTATTCTGACCAAAACTTCACGAATGCATCTACAAAAGCTCTGAAAATGGCAAAAATTGGATTTGTTTCTTGTCTCATCGAATGTTTAGGCGTCCCATCCCATGACTCTCTGCAGAGAAAGCATATGGAAGTTAACTAAGGCAAGAGAACCTATGCAGCAATAGCTCACATCTAAGTGACATGGCATTTGAGATCAACACGGTACATTTGAGATGCATACATGATATATACTTACAGATTGATTCTTTCTAAAGTTGGGTTGCTTTCCTGGGAGTTGCCACCAAGCTGACCATTAACTCTAAGCTCATTCATGTTCTCATGGGTTTCTTCTTTAGTATTTGACTCCTTAGCAGAGGTGCGAGTGAGGGTCTTGGCATGAGAGCCATCTTGAATTTTTGTCTGACAATGAATTTATCTATCAGAGAATTTCCACCACATGAACTTCAAAAAAAAAAAAAAAAAGCATGTGCGTGGCTCCCAGAACAGCTGGTGAAAATAGCATTGTTTTGATTGCAAGTATGCCAGCTTAACCACCACATGTTTACTAGAAGAAGGGGATTTATGTCCAAATAGAAGCATGAAAAAATTCAAAGCATAAAGATTTGAAATCTAAAAAGAGGATGAAAACTCAAAGAGGTAATACACATGGATAATTCCAATTAAAATTGGAAATCCTAGGTTCGCGTAATTTCCCCACTACGCTATGAACACTAGCTTCTTGTGCCGCAAACTGAAAAGTTACATTCTACAGATACTTCAAGAAGTCCAAAATAGTAAGCAGAAGGTCTAATTGGTCTCGGGTGAAAATAAAATGTTATCCCAACATGAATCAGCTTATCATCATGGAGACAATAATCTTGGCATAACCCATATCCAAACTTCTGAAACTAACAAAGACTCGTCTCTCCATGTTGAGCTAAAAATTTCAATCCTCATCACAGGCGATCCAAAGTTTAAGAAGACTTGCTACCAGTGCAAGAGTTCATCATTAACACCAATTTCAGAACATTGATTTTCTCACGACCTAGCAGCCGAACATCACTCATATCTTAATGCGGAAAATCACTTCAATGAGGAAGAAATGCATCTAACATTTTCCTCCTTGAAAACTACACTAAGTGGCCGAGGCTTTATTTAGACTCTCCTTTCCTCTACCACCATCTCCTTAGCTCCCTCCTCTCTGTACTTTCTTCTCAGTCGAATGTCTATATGCTGAAGAGTACTGGGTCTTTTGTATCTCTGTTCTGATTCTCAAACCCCCCCCCCTTCCAATTTTCTCCCATAGGGTTAGACCCCCATCTAATGCAACCCCCCACCCCCAACATGGAGCAGGAACTTAGCTGCATATTGAATTTTGTCGGCTATTAGAACATTTGTTTTGCAACCTCATGCAGAAAGGGAGGGTGGAATGCTTTTAATTGATTTGCCGGTTGACATGGTATTAGAGCCTTTATGACCAAATGAACAGAAGTTCAGTCCTTGCCATTCCTTTTAATTAAATTAAATTTTGGCACTACATGTGGTAGGCCTTTTTTCTATGCACATGCTTAGAGCACAAGAGACTTTTAAGTGAGGGGCCCGTTAGATTTCATAACAGAACTATTCACAAACCTCAACTCAATAGGGAAAAAAAAATAACAAGTGAATAAATGGATCTTTAACACAACAAAAGTCTTGCCCCACTAGGTGGGGTACATTGGTCTTTAACACAGTTATACATTATTTATTTTTACAACAGAACGTGGTTACAATTTTTGACATATTTTAGAAGCATGCTGCTGCATAAATATAGAAAAATAAGGAAGAAGAGAAGAGAAGAAGGGGAAGAGGAAAGAGAACAAGAGAAGAGAAGAGAGAGAAGAGAGGGAGACGAAAGAGAGGTGCATCAACAGAATAAAACTTTCAGATCCAGCATAGGACATTACTTACAGACTGCCCTGTTTATATAGGCACTTACTAATGACTTCCCATACCTAACTCATACTTCTCTAACTGCCTAAACTTCCTAACAGCCATAACTATCTATAACTATTCATATTTTCATATCTTTTACAGTTACACAACAAATGCTGCATGTCATTTTTTTTTTTTGAATAGAAACTGAATCTCATTACTAGTAACAAACAACAAGTACAAAGTTACTCTTCTTGATCAAGATCCACCCCATGGAGCATAGGTGGAGATTGATCAAAGATACAAAAATTTTCATCTAACCTATGAGAAGCTTTCGCTAATTGATCCGCTAAAGTAAGGTTCTCCCTAGAACTATGCTTGACTAGGACCTCCCAATCTAGATTAAGAATGAATCTAGTATCCTGCACAATGTCTCTATAGGGGTGGTCAGCGCTGCATGTCAATTTCAATGAGTACAAAGAATACTGAAAGGAGGAAAATCTTTGGGAAGATCAGATATGCAGAATATACAATGAAAACATAGGCATATGCTACACAAATATGCTGATGCACCAGAAAGCTTAATTTTAACAGTCAACATAATTTACTAGCTTAAGGTACTGAATCATGCAGACAACAGCACTAACATCCCTAAATCAAAAGTCAAAAGTGAATTAAATAATTCTCTCTAGTAAATAAAGCATTTAAGAAAGAACATAAACTCCACCTCACTCCCCATAATACGATATTAAAATGAAAAATAGAACCCAGAGAATATTTAAGTGCATCTCATTGATCATAGTTTAACATTCTAAAATTATAGATAAACTAACCTTAGCACCAGATATGGTTTGACTTTGCTCAATGACTTCAGCAGTCAAAATATTGCTTTGATGAGGTGCTTTAACTTGAGGGTCAGCACATATTTCATTGTCATGGGCAATTCGTTCCTCAAGGGCTTCCTGCATTGTGCTTTTGACCAACGTATGTCCAAGATGTTTTTCTTCCTCGTCATTGCCAGAGGCATTTGTATTTCCAACGCCATCCACAGGCTTCTCATCAAGTAAATTAGAATTCTTCATTAACTCAACACTCTCGAGTTCTGACCTTTCCTGTCCCATATGCAAGCCCAAAATTTGTGTTTCATTTTCTGGAGAATTAATCATGTTTGTAACAGACCTTAATGGAAATGTCTCTACAGCCACGTCGGCTATGACCGGGCTTAAATTAGTTTCAGGCATTGCCAAATTTTGGGACACATCCTCTGGGGTTGCCAAAGACTGACTGAGTTGAAAGTCAGGACTACTTGCTTCAACAGATTCCGTGTTTGTTCCATCTACCTGGCTACCATGGACAAGATTTCCATTGCTAAATGCTTCAACCAATTCCTGGCTTGTCTCATCAACTTGGTTAACACTAATTACATTTCCGTTTCCATATGCTTCGTTGAATTCCTTGTTACTTACATCCACATGGCTACCATTGAGTGTATTCCCATTGTCAGACAACTGACCCTCAACTATAGTATGCTGCTCAAAAAGCATTTTGTCACTCGTATCGAGAAGATTGCTAGGATCATGATGATTTTCATTTGGAGATGCAGCAAGGTAAGCTTTAGGATCTACAGCAATTGAACCTAATAGATCTTGTTCCAAAACCTGGTGAGAGGGATGCTCCTCTAAAGTGGACCTTGCAGGCCCCAACACTCTATTCTCTTGGATTACATCTCGTACAATCTCCCGTACTGTGTAGAAAGAACCACCAACTTCCTTATGGGTAAGATTAAGCGATGGGAAGCTTCCATTGTTAGACTCTTGGTACCTGAAGCAATGTTTTCAGTCAGTGAAACTAAAGAGAGGCACTATATTCAATATGACACTGGCAAAAGGGCTTTGATTGAGAGTAAATTAAATGACAAGAATAATTTGGGAATCTTCTAAGAACTCAACCTCCCAGCATAAGAATCCAGAGAGAGAGAGAGAGAGAGAGAGAACAAAAAGTTGCATAATATCAAATAACAGAAAATAAACTAAATACAATTCATCTGTATAAAAAAAGGTATTTATTAAAGATGAAAAACAAACCAATCATATTAACAATAGATTGATACTAAGATTTCAATCTATTGAGTCCCATCTACCCCATCCAGATACAGTTAGTTAGATGAGGATGGCAAATAACAGTCAGATTTCAAACATCATACCAATGTATTTGATGTAAGAGAAAGATTGGAAACGGGAGAGACAGAGGGAGAATTAGAAAGGGAAAGATTGAACAGGGAGATCTCATAGCCTAATTACAAACTATCCAACTCCCCTTACTTATAGACCTAAGAACTCATTAACTAACTCTCCCCTTTTATTACAATTATACATCAGAATTTACAGTATCAAATGGGTAGTTCAAGCAAGTGATATCGTTAATGACCAGTACAAAGAAGTATATGACACGCTAAACAGGAAACTGCCTAACTTAAGCAAAAGCTAGGCATGGCTATATAGGAAAACTACACAAATAAAACATTAGACAGGAACGTTAAATAAACTGCAAAGAACATTTTTAAAATGCTACTGTAAGTGTACAACTCTTCAACTTTATTTATACAGGTAAATCGTGCCCACCAACTCACCATAACTGGGAGTATGTTACATGCCCTCAATTCCATGCATTGCAGACATGATTCACTCCCGGCATCTACACATTATCCCAGAAATCTAAACGGAATGACCCCCCATTACCAACCAATACCAGAGTATGATGGGCAACATATGTAAAATTAGCTTTAGTGTCCCCGTCAATAAGATTCTTTAGCAAAAACCGAACGTAGATTCGGACATAGAGACAGATTCCTTTTGAGAAAAGAAGAAATGCACAAGTTCTTTTATAATTTTTTTTTTAAAAAAAAGTACAGAAGATGAACATTTCGAAACCGAACAACTCAATCGAATGAGGAGAGAGCAGAGTATAATTACTTCTTTATAAAGGTTTCAACCATAGCCTTCCTTTCCTCTTTCGAACGGCGAATCCTTGATTTTCTGACTTCAGACTCATTGCGCTTGGCAAGGGCAAAAGTTTGCCCCACCCAGGCACCCTTTACAGCATGCATTGTGCTAGCAGAATGCGAAAGAGCACATACTATATGGATTAACTAAGATAGACGGCCTAAACCCTAAACCCTGACAATACGGAGAGAGAACGGAGACGACGAGACTACCAGTGCAAGGGCCCTTTGGCGGCAAAGATTGTATTTTATGGGTAGGAAATGAAAAGGAAGGGAATGCATAATATTGTCAATGTGAAATATCCAATGGAGAACGAGGTTGGTGATCTTGTGGCCAATAGCATTTTCTTCTCAACATCTCTTTTAAATGTCTTAAGAAGTCATTTAAATATTTAAATTCTTAAATAAAATTAAATTATACTCCCTTGATTATATTTATAAGACAGAAATAAAAAATATATATCAATAAAAGTTACTCATAAATATGATTAAAGGAGTTTTGGCACAAAAAAATAATTAGAGGAGTATTTCTTTTTTATGAAGTTTAAGCTTATCACATTTTGCTTTTAAAAAAAACAATTAATACTACATTTATTTTTTGATATAAGATCTAGTTTGTATTACTACTTCCGATCCTAATTATAAGAGCCAATTAACTAATTTGAGGAGATTAAGAAAATAAGTTAAGTTAATTATTTGTAATAAATAGGCGTTGTCTTTCTCAAAATATCCTTGTTAATCAAGTGTATTGGCTAGAACTATCATTATTAGAAGAACTACTTTGGGAAAAAATTGCATAAATATACGAGACAAAGTGAATTGGGGTCTTATATTTAAGACCAAAATAAAAATCAAATGAGGTCTTATATTAAAGATCGGAGGTAGTATATTGAAATAAAAGAGAAATAAATCCACTCTTGAGAAGCATTAAATTCTCAGCATATCACATAAGAACGAAACGAGAAAAAAAAAAATCAAATATTTTCATGTGGTGCAACAAAATATCTCTCATTTCCCCTCACAAACACCCTATTTTGACTATATGGCACTATGTATTATTTGATAACCTAATAAATTTTCGATCCTTAGCCCAAAACGAATTTTAAAAAAAATGAAGGAATTTCAATTTCAAGTATATTAAAACCTAGACAGACCTTGTCAACATGACAAAAACAACTACGAACGAGTACTCAAACCAACAACCTAAAACCATACCATTCCGGTGTCTAGGCATTGCATTCCTGAAGAGCATAGTTGAAAGGGAGAATGGCAGACAACATCCTTTGCGGTTGTGACCATGTAGTTGTTAGCCTGTGCTTAGACAAGATTTCATACTCTTGAGCTGCCTTAATATTACGGATTTTTTTTTTTTGGTTGCTGAATAGGAAAAAAAGTTGAATTCGTTATTGTAATTTTGTCATCTCGTCAAAAGGAAAACAGAAATCAATTGTTTAGTCCCAATAATTTACCTTTGTCTTATCATGCGTGCGAGATAATCTGCCAATCTTCTTGGATCATTCCCAAAAATCTTCACATATCCCCCACAAGCTTAATCCGTTTTATACATATCAGACCAAACTCTCTCCTTCCTTAAACTACTCTTCCAGTCTTTAACATAAGACCCATTTAACTAATTTGATTAGATTAAGAAAGTTAGGTAAGTTAGTTAATTATAAGAAATATGACACGTTTTTTCTAATATACCATAATCATCTTTCTTAATATCCCTTTTTCCTCTTCTACTTGATTATGGTTGAGGGAGTATCTATAGGAGTAATTTAGAGAAAATTGATAAATATGAAAAATGGGTCTTATATTTAAGACCAAAATCAACTCAACAATTGGGTCCTATATTAAGGACTAGAGGATTATATTTATGCCATTCTTCCATTGCTTCTTTTGCCTCATCAACTTGTTTCTTCATCATTGCCATAACACCCAGCACCTTATTTTACCTATGGTGCCGTCATCTTGTTGAGATTGGTATTAAAGAAATGAGAATTTGCTAAAAATATTCTCCATTGCAAAATATAAGAACCCAGGTGTAATTGAATATAAATTACACAGCCGAATAAAAGTTGCACTTAAATTTTTGTACAAATTTTAGGTAGCTTTGAGCAATAACTTAAAATAAAGGATTTTTCAACAATTTTCTCGGAAACACCAAATCACCCAACACCCTATCCTCACCACCTTCCCTCTTTTCCCGTGCTGATACTGCCTCCTCTAGCACATTCCTCATCCTCCTCCGGCTCGAGTGAGGACAGCTGAGAATAACAACGGGGAAAAAATGTTCTCTGTATTAAGAATAACTTACCACCCGTTAGACTTCCATGCAACCTAAGATAAATTATACTCTTTTAATCCTTAATATAAGATATAACTAATTAATTTAGTGAATTAAAAATTTTAATTAAATCAGTCATTATGACATGTTTTTTTCCTTAAAATACTTTAATTATCTTCCTTGATTTCCTCTCCTTTTTCCTACTTGATTAGTGGAAATATCAATCGGGGTTAATTTAAAAAAAATTGATAAACAAATTAGATAAGTTTTATATACAAGACCTTTAAATTAGGTCAAGAGAAGTAATTAAATTTTCCTTAAACAATCTCATATACAACTAAAATGTCTATGGTTAATAATATCTTTCTTAAGTAATATAGCAAGCCATTACACAATAAAGCCGGTAATACACGAGCCCAATCTACCAGCTCGCCAAAATTGACAGGCTCGGATTGGCATGCCAAGACACGGGCTACTCCAACTCACACTACTTTGAGCCCACTCCACCTAGGTTTTTTTTTTTTTTTTTTGTAACTTGAGTAGTAGATTATACAATGTAGCTGAAGGATTTTGATCTTCAAATTCCATATTGACATCACCTCATTCATGTAATTGAATATATACTACACATATAAAAGATCTACCTAATTAATTTGGATAAAAAAATAGTCAAATCAATTATTTAGAAAAAAAATATGTGCTAATTTTTTTAAAATATCTTCTCAAATTATAAATTATTTCTCACATTATTTTATTGCAACCACTACTCAAGTTCAAAACTTCAAATCCAATTTCAACATTTCAAACCAAACTCAACCTATACAAATAATAATAATTTTTATTAAAAAAAAAAAGTATACCTAGGCAAGCCCTTGGCGGGTGCGGGTTTAGGAACCTTTTGGCTCGCACTGCTACGAGCTGACTCATATCGCCGGCCTGTATTACTAGTTCTATTACACAACATAATTTATATAAAATATCGGAGGACAAAGCTAAGCATATTCATAGCTTCTCGTCATAATTCCATGTCGATGCTAAACCAGACACGTTAGTTACATACATCTCAAACTCAAACACTTGACATGCATACATACAGGTACATATATACATTACAGTTTCAAAAGGACTAGCTACAAAATATATATACATGTCCATTCAAATATATGCTCCATGTTAGCATCTATTTAAATTGATTTCTCCTCGCCAAATCCTAAAGCTTCCCCTGGACATTTATTGGAAACGAAGTGAGATAAAACTTCAACGAGTGTATGATCCAGTATATATACACAAAAATCAGAAATGCATGTAAATTAATAAACTAAATTTTTTCCCAATCAAACCCAACAACTAAGGAATCACATGATGGAATTACCTTTAAAAATGTACTTAATTACACCTAAACACCTCACCAAACCACTTACGTCCACAAGTTTTAACACCAGAAAAGATAAATAGCTAGAGAATGGAAAAATAACGAGCAAAGCAAGTTCTATGAAGTTCACCTATCATTTTGGCTTCAATTTCAGTACCACGCAAGAAGAGAAAAGGATGGAGAAGCCAAGCGTTAAACTTGCTCATCCCTCCAGCTGCAATTTTTGGTTGGCAATAATCGATGTCACGGGGGAAATAGCTAATAAAATCTATTAGGCTCCTTAGGTAGCAGCGACAAGATTAATAGAGTAAGAACAAAAGACTAAAGCAGCAAAATAAGAATCAGCTCAAATCTATCATATGCAGTGAAAAATGTATTGACGTGATATGTGACAAGAGAATTTGCAGGCTAGAAGAGAAGGTCCAGCACAAAACACTGGATCTGAATGCCTCAGAGTCGTGAAGTTAATTTCACCCAGCTTCTGGGGTCGGCAATATGGGCCAAAGTAAAGTTATCTTCACTAGGGCTCTTTTTGGTGGCTCCATTTTCCTGCGAAGCCTTTGTGCAAAGGTAAGATAATGACTGCAACCATGAAACCAATATCGGTTTTCGTATTACATCGTCAGATTCAGCCACCTGTGAATATAACTCATTGAGAACCGTGTTTTGGGCCTCTCGTGGTAACTTGGTAATCAGCAGTGCTAACAACTTCATTAAATCCACCAAGACCTAGGAAGCAGTAAAAGGCTGGATTAAATTAACTCAATGACATCACTCGATGAAGATGAGATCATGAAAATTTCCAGCATGGCCAATCCAAATCACTGAATTATGCAATAATTAATCTTAACAGGTCCATCTTGATTGCAGATCCACACTACTTCATTTCATATTAAATGGGCAAAAACAGATGTAAATTTTAATTGATGTAAACAAGATGACGGTTTTAGCTCCCAAACGAATGCTCCCCACCCCCTCCCCAAAAAGAAAACAAAAAAGGGAACAGAAATTAGCTAATAACATACTTGTATGTCAACCAAAAAAACTATGTGCAAAAGCAAGTCCAATAATTTCTTGCAAGGCTCTGTCTCCCCCTGCAACTTTTTCCAAGCATCAGCATCATTAGCAAGGACTTCAGCACAGAGCCTATCTGCCTTCTCAACAAGATTGTAGATGCAATAAAATATAGAAGGACTTCCAGCAGGAAGATGTCGAACAATGCCTACAACTCCGGAAGCCATTCCCTCAAAAGGAGTTATGCCTGGATATTCCTGTATTCATGTTCCATAAACGATTAGAACTGTTTCCAAGTTATCAGTCTCGAATTTAAGACCTAATTACAGTTGATTAAGATACCAATAAGGATCTTTCTATATAATAGAAAACAAGCTGCTCCTTCAATGATAATCCCTCATTCATTTCAGATTCTTCTCCCAGAGAAATAAATGCCATAAACAAAGAATGTGACGCCCGAGATACTTTTCCATTTGGGTGTTCCATATATCTAGTTTCACTTGAATAAGGAAGCAAATTTGCAGCAGATGA